TTTAAGCACCGGCACCATTTCAAAAGTACCGGTTTGGCACCGGTATCGGATAAAACCTAAACGATACCCATCCCTAATTAGCGGGCATAATGTTAGCTTACAACTAGTTGTTGTTTACTCAGCTCTTGTCAGCTGTACAGACAATGAATGTTGATAATAATATCGGGAATACCCAAGCATGATGAACACATTTTGATCCTCTTTGATCCTCCCACAACAGTATTTTTAATAGATTTATAATGCTTTTATGAGAATGCATCAGTTTGTTGGAACCTATGAGTACAGTTTTCTTTTTTCTATTAAATAACTTAAAAAAATGACTGACTGTACCTTCAATCGTTCTAGGCCTGCTTGACACATGTTACAAAAAACGTTCTTCCCTGGCAGTTGAATTCTAGGTGAATGACAGCAAAGTAGAAGCACCATATCGTTACCTGATGGTGACTGACGTCCATCTGTTGTTATTGATGTTCTGATTTACAGCTGCATGCAAAATATGACTGCCACCACAACCGAGTTTAGCAACAGGGCTTCCATCTTGAAGGAAAACATGAAGGAACTGATCCCCAAAGTTCTGCTCCTGAGCTGCAAAGGTAAGAAAATCACAATTAGTAAATAGCCTCTTTTTGCATATTACTGTGTTGTATCAGTACAATATTTGTTACATGACTTCAAACTTATCAAAGATACTGAATGCATAAAATGAGGCCCCTTTGTGTATGACGCTTTAAAATCTGAAAATGGAAGATGATCTGATTTGAACATGTTCAGTTGAGTAACTACAGTAGCTGGACAGAGCTTCTTCCATATGCTTTCCTCACACTGTATGCTAATTTTTCAAAATGATCTTTAATCTCTGCTGTGTGATGCATTTTAATGTGTTAAAAATAAAGATGCAATACAAATACAAATACAAAAACAGAGGTAATATACACCTGAGGGAAGATTCCTATCTGCCAACAAATGCCATTACACAGTCAAAACACATGCCTCCTTTAAGCTTACAAAGACCTAGTTCACATTGCTGTGAGTTCTACAATAAATGCACAAACTGGGCAATCTTTCTCTCAAAAAAACAGCTAAGAATAAACTGACTTAGACCAGATAAAATCTAAAGTGTCTAAGGCGTAAAAGGCATTGCAAGCACTCCCACTGTTTTTTTTTGTTAAAGGATTAAATTAGGATGGACCAAATGGCATATAAATCCTTCAGTCTTAGCCAAGTTAAAAGTAACAAGAAAATATGAAAGAAAAAGATAGAAATCTACTCAAAGGTCATGGAGAGCTCAATTGAAAAAGTATAGCGAATAATAATCAATTCTTGCTGAGAGATCGAAACTTTCCACTGGATACTCCCACCTACAAGGGGGAAATTGTTGAAAAGAGAAGAGAAGAGAGAGGAGACTGAATCGAGATAAATCTTCTCTGCCCACTGCTGCAGACACTGTGTTAGTAAAGACCTACAAGGGAGTAAGTACAGGGCTCCTTGTCCCTTATACCACTGGTGGAAACTGAAACTTTGGTCCTCACTGTCTGACAGACCTCCTTAAATCAAACTGCTCCTTTCACAGTCTGAGCTATATGAAGCTATCTGAGACTTGGCATCGAGCATAAAGTGCTGTTCACTTATGAGTAATGATTCATATTATAACATACCAAGACTGCATCAATATGAGCTGAATCATCCCTGTGTGTGTGCCACACAGGAACCACACTGTTCAGAGCTACTAGGATAACAGTAAAATGATTTTTTATTACCATTACGCCATGGTATGGTTAGCAGAAAGCAGTGAGTTTTCTGCTTCAAAAGATAAAGATCCACTCATGTGCACATAAACACACAAGTTTTCTGTAGGTTTATTGCAGGGAGGGGAGGTAAGAGGTAGCAAGCAAGAGGGTATCCTCAGGATATAAGTATCTTCCCCATGGATCACTCTAGTAGGTCTCATTCTGCCTGCCTACCAGGAGAATGATTACCAGGTACTTTTATCACAGCTTGGGCTCTCAAGATCCAAAACATTTTTTTAAACTTAAGCAGAACAATCTTGCGACTGGAGGACTGATGGTAAATCTACATTTTGATCCTGCTGGAAAAGCCTCTGGAAAATGGCAGCTGGTGCGACGTTTCCCCAACCTTTGTGGTCTTGATTGCAAAACAGGAATATGACCTCTACAGTATGTCACTTAACTCCAGCACATTATATCTCAATGGGAGATTTTGAGTGTCTTGCAAGTGAGACAGTGCATTGTGGGAGCGACAGCCAGCAGCAGCATGAAATTCTCCCCCACACACACTATCGAGGTCTTCAACTGTCTAAGAACACAGGAGCAAAGGGGGAGCAACATAAAATGCAGCAGGGAGACAGAGACCAAACTTGCCCACTGTCAGGGAAGACAATCCTGCAAGTCAGAGGACTGAACAGCAATAGTGCCCAGTTAGAGGGACCTAAAATATTTCTGTGTTTCCAACAGGGCTTATAGGGCACATTTCAGCTGAATTACAGAGGGCGACAGGGGACCACACACCCAGAGGGAACTACTGAGTAGACTCAACACAATCAGGGTTGGCCTATTTCATTTCACAATGACAATGGTAATTGCGTCAAAACTCTTTGCTAGGCTAGGACCAGGACAGAGGTGTGTGGGCAGAGACATTCCTGTGGCATCTCTCTTGAAGTAACGAAATGAGTGGAGGATTTGGACACCGGAGAAAAATTGAACAAAAGCAGCCTGTTGTTTTAAGGGTATATGGCAACTCATGTGAAAGCTCAGAACAATTCCTCCAGGGCAAGAAGGGCATCAAGAAAATCCCCATCTCTTTGTCCACAGGAGGCAATGCTTAGCTTAATATGCTACACTCAGATAAATGTATTCTTTAAGCCGACCATTCTTTGTCTTAGGACACAACAGGGATGCATTTAACAGTGCAGTGCCATACTACAAGCCACTGTTGCAGAATGACACACAGGAATAAATATCTCACTCCTATAATTTTCTGATCTTTGTTCTGCAGAAGGGTAGGACTCTTAGCCCAAGAAAAAATAGCAGTAGGGACACTGTAGGTAGCAAGGCATCATTCATAGTAGAATAAGAGGCTTTTAAATGGCTTCATTTGTCTGGAGCATTTAATTAGTTTGCATCCTGCTTGAAGAGATAAAATTACCCTCATTCACTTGTTCAGTAATCTTCCTTTCTTGGTCATCTGCTCTTCAGTATGATCATGCTGCCAGCACATGATTTCATCCAGAGACACAGTATTCATTGTCACAGCTTTCCTAAAATGTCCTGTGGGTCGTGGCGTGGATCCTCCGTGGATCCGGCTCATGCTGTGGATGCTTTATAGCATCAGAATCTGGGAAGTTTGGAGACTGGGTCAGTGACTCAGACTCTGTTGTGCTGTGTTCTGTGAGCCATTCATTCAGTTTTCACTGCGTGGTAGGTCACACTGTTCTGCTGCTGTCAGAGACTGTTGATGCCATTAGGGCGTTGAGCTTGTGCAGAAATAATGTTTTTGGTGGGCAGAATGTGACAAATTAACATCCAGTCAAATGTCAGAATCCACAGTTCGGCAGTAGAACACCGCAGTGTAACATGTAATCAGATTTTTCAGTTCACCTCTCAGTGATTTAATAAATCTCAGGGGCATTTAAGACGTAAAAATTTATGTCCAACCTGCTTTTTGTTGTCATTGAACTCATAAAAGTCAACCTTCTTTTGATACTGTTCTCAATAAAGTGTTAACTCTGGGTCGGGCCTGCAACAGTACCAAACTGCTTTGTTATAAAATACATCTTATGCAAGAGACTTTATGTCAAGGGCAGAAAAAAAACACATATTCTGGTGTTCATCTCTATTTGGCGATTTCCATATATCTATCTAAAAAGGCTCAGCTGATACCAGTATATTAAAAGTGCTCTGTTTCACAAATTATTACAAGGCTGGCAAGGGTCTGAGAAGCTGATAAATCTGTGTCCAGTCCGAATCCTTCCAAGAGCCTTTGTTTAGTCAAAAATGTATTGTTTGCTTAAATGCAAGCACCTGTTTAATTTTAGAGCAACACGGACTCTTTACACGTGAAGACAAAATGCAACTGATGAGTTGTTAAATGCAGTTATGTTTTGAATAGAATCTTTAGTCAGCAGCATGAAATGAGGGCATTTCTATTCATTTGAGATACACAGTACTTGACTTTCCTCTAGCAAACAATTGCTTTTGACACTTTTTGCTCGTGGTAAAGTCACAAGGCATTATTAAAAAAATCTTGCGCTGAGAGGAAAAGCTTGAAAGTGGAAAGGAAATATGACTCAAACATTATGGTATGGTGCAAAAATATTCGGACACCCGGGGCCTGTTAATGGCAGTGCATATATTTGCTGTGAAAAACTTACATGAGGTGAGAAACAAGGGATGCTGCATTTTTTTTTTTTAAAAATCATCTTCAAAAGGGTTTAAAAAACAATTAAAATTTTAAAGCAAGCAGTGGGCGGTGCTGGTTGGAACAGAGCAGCAGCCAATGAGTCACTTTAAATACTGAAGGAGACTGAAATGTTTAAGTCTGAATTTAACCTGCTGCTGTCATAAACATGCTGAGAAATGTAAAACTAACTAACCAGTAAAATATTCTTTAACCGACACGATATAAAAACCTCAACCTGGTATGTTTTCTTTAAACGTGGTGCAAAAAAACGAACAATGGGCAAAAATTGTACAGTACAAAAGACATGCTGTGTTACCCACTAAGATATTGTATATTAAAATACTGAATAATCCTTTTTTTATTTTTTCAAAAACACAGTGGGCTGTCAAATGTTTTTGAATGGACTAACAAAGGAAGCCTTACGCTTCTTACTTCCTACTGCAAAAATAAGCCTCTCTCATCTCCTCTCAAATCAATTTCCGCTTAGCTCTATAACTTATTCGCTGCCAGATATTATTTTCTCTAGATGTCAATGTTGCAGCATCTTTTATTTTGCTATTTTTCTTCTGTAAGGATATTGTTTCCTACAGTCCCCATGGCCCTGTTACTCTGTGCTGAACTTAACAGAGCGTTCGTCCTTCTGCCAGTCGCTGTCACCTGTTTTCTCTCTCTCTCTCTTGCTCTCCCCCTCCCCCCCTTTCTTGCTCACCCCACCTCCTCTATTTTTTCTTCTCCAGCTGACAATTGAAGTCCAGGGGGAGACTCGCGAGTTTGCTTCAGGGAGAGGTGTAAAGAAAAGGGGGAGCAGAGAATAAGGAGCAGGTCTGGCGCGGAGAGTCTTCGCATCTCAATGCACGTCTTTTGGTTTTCTTCTGATTAACTTTGTCTGTTTGATCTCTCGAGTTTTCTTTTCAGTTCCTATTCACTGATGTGAAAAAGATGGGTGCTATATGCCAGGAAGTATTTCTAGATAAAAGGCACCGTGCCCACTATTTATGCTTTCTGAACAGTCATCTCTTTTCGTGACAAGGCTCGCAGTCTGCTTTCTGTGCCAGTGAGATACTGTAAATATTACTGAGAACAGTGAGCAGGCGGATTTAATTGAACCAACTAACCTAAAATTATGACTATGTTTTGTAATTTACAGCCGTGTTCACGTCTACAATTGAGTGTGGTGAAAGCTGGTTTGGAATAAAGATGACATCAGGTTGAAACAGCAGTCAGTTTCTCAAACTGATCTATAGTATAAATCTGCAAAGCCTTAGACTGGTATAACTTATGATCCACACAGCTAGACAACTGGTGGCAGTGAATATATGAGGCGACTTATGCCAGGGTGGAAGTGAGACAATACTGCTATCTTGACGTCAAGTCCCATCTGACAACTACAAAGGTCGTGTTACTGTACAACCTTTGAAACCACATTCTTTCAAATCACGTCGTTGTCTTTATTCCTTAAGAATAAAGATAAATTGTGTTACAGAGTCCTGATTTAGGTAATTATAATATAAGTGTTTCCTGTTATTGTTCTGCATATAGTACGGGAAAAATACTAATTAGAGAACTCAGGCAACAACTTGCATTAAACTGTGTAGTTTGTAATGCATTGCTTTGTATATAAAATACATAGCTTATGACTTATGACAGATGCAAATGCATTCTCAGTCATATTATGAAAAGCTTTTCTCGGGCGGAAAAAAAGCTCCCTGAAGCTATATTCTTTTTATCCATGTAATATTCGGTTTTTCAAACAGAAAAGAAAAAAAAATCTAAATTCAAACCATTACTTCAAGTATGGGGAAGCATACTAATGGCTTTGCTTTGCAATTATTCCGCTATTCTATTCTCAAAGCTATCATTTGACATTTTTTAAAAAGTCCTTAATAATATACCCTAAAATCTCTGCAACACAAACCAAATGTAGATTTGGATTTTATAGATAAAGAAAGATTTTTAGCACATAACAAAAATGCACATATATTGGGAATATGTCATTTTAAAAAGACTTTTCATTCCTTAATTTACTGACTGGTTGATTTTTGAACACTCTAATTAAGCGCCCGTGTCAGACAGGATACCGTATAGTTGTCTTTAAATTGATGTTACCATTGTCTATGTCTATTTAAGGTTTAGCTGGCTGACCTTTCAAATACACCAACCCTATATAAAGCACTAATTTAGACTTCTATTACATTCTGAGTGCAGCCTAATTAACAGCTCTTTAAATACAAAGATTTAAGTCTTTGGTGCAACGCTAATTCACTCAGTAGCCATCGTGGGAGGCCAATGTCAGCCCAGTGAAAAAAAGTCAAGCTATTATTACCCCAAACAATAGTAAAAGTAAAACCACCTCCCCCCCACAAAATAGCCTATAGTATCAAAAGCACACAGAAAGAATAATTCTGTTAGTTCTTTCAGAATTAAACTAAATAACAAAAGTCAGCTGGTACAAGCATAACTTCCTAGTGATAAGGTAAGACTGTTAAATGAATTAACATATACTTTTCTGCAGTTGCATCACATATTTTGGGTTCGACTCCTGGATTTACTCCTCGCCACACTCATTACAGTTAGTCAAGCCAGAAATTCCACATTATGATCAAAGGAGAGGAAATACAGTTTAACCCTGAGGTGTACTGAGCTGTTTAATAGGTCCAGGACCTGTAGACGATGTCACCGATAAGAGGTTGATCTAGGTTACACCAGAAAGATGAATGTTATGATGTCTTCTGCTGGTGGGTATAGAATAAATTACCCATGATCACCACACAATGTATGCTGGTTACAGTTCTGTTGCACTTGCACCTGACTTGCTGTGGTGTAACACAGGAACAACGAGAGGCTCCTAAACTCAAGGTGGATGCAGTTTTTAGAGCGAGGAGCCGGTCCACGGAGACCCAGAGTTGGATGCTTTTTTATTAGAGCAGCTCAAGGCGTTCATGCTCTGGATTCACCCCTAAGTTGGCTGATACTTAATATATGCATACATATTTTGAACAGATGTGTAATACACACAAAGCAGGGTAAATTAACTAAAGTTCTCATGGCTCAGCTTTCTCAGTCCTCAAAAAAAAAAAAAAAAATCACTGACTCTTCTCTTCCCAAAACAATACTCCATTGTTATGAGGGTCTACTCGGGGTTGCCTGGCCTACCCATCCCAATCTTCTACTTTAACAAAGGAGCATGCGTATGTGTGTGCACAGGTGTGGGAACAAAAGAGCTGGCAGCAGGCGGACATACAGTGTAGAGCTCACAGTTGACATAAAGGGTGATCCCAATGCTATCTCTGCGTGTGAGTGTCCAGCTCTTGCCTTATGAGGATTCCTTTGTTCGCTTTTACCTCACAGCTCAATCATCAGCACTGTAACAGCGAAAAAAACTCCCAGCTGTCGACAGAAGACAAGGCTATCTGTAATCCTCCACCAGAGCACTGTTTGCATTTCCTTCTGAGAAGTACATGGTGCTCCTGACACATTATCTTAACATTTGGTTGTAGCTGAATCCACTTATTTGCTGAAAATGTCATAACTAATTAAACATTGACTGAATGGCAGCTATGGCACAAGATACTCTCAAAAAATAACAAGAAAAAAATGATTCTAGGTTTCTGTGTCCTTTTACTTGCAGCCTTGGAAACCTAAGAGCTGTCTTTGTATCCCACAATTCCCTGCATCAATAGATGACTCACTGCATGCCCCGGGTGACATTTAAAGTCAGGCCAGTGGGTTTTTTTTTTTAATATTAATACTTGAGATTGATCAGTGCATGTATTCTTTTAAAGTGAAAGGGAAACACAATAGACTATTGCTTTAGCCCAGACTCTTTACATATCTCTTGTGTAATAAATATGCTGCCACATTCTCTGCAATAATGTCCAGAAGGACCTGAAATTGTCAGAGCTGGTTACTTTGGGGGGAAACTGAAGTCATTTCAAGGATGGAGAAAATAGCAGCCCCGGTCAGGGTGATTGCTCCTAAATTTGCAGTCAAACTGTTTTTGAGATTCGATGTGTTTCGCCCTTGATTTGTTTCACTATACATAAAATGGATATTGTGTCTGTGTAGTCGATAGTTGTAACTAGGTTTGCTGCTGTCTTGGCCAGACCCTTCTTGAGATTTTACGTGATTAAAATGAAACAATCAAACAAGAAGAAAATATCTATATGTAAAATAGCATTAGGTATGTTTTGAATATGTTACAGAACGCTGATCGAATGCGATTTTCATTCACTCTCGTATTTCTTGTTTTCTTTGGCATAACAACTGTTGCAGAGCAGTTGTGTTTGCTGGAGCTTATGTGAACATGTCAGTGTAATCAACTTCTGAAAACATGACTTTCCCGCAGAGGAGGTCGAGAGCATCTATAAAGAGACAACGAGCATGACAGCAGATGAATTTTTGCTGCTTGTCCAGAAACCATTAAGCAGTATACACTTGTCTTCTAAGAGGCTCTTATCAATGCCACTATGTCTGTTTTCTGCAAATAAACCTGTTTCACTTGTTCTGCCAATCACCCAAGAGTCAAGGTGCATTCTGAAGACGTTAACACATCCTCTTACGTTTACTAAGACAATATATATTTTGTTTAATTCTGAGGAAATAAGAGGAAATGGCTTTTTAAAAGCAAATTATTGCATCTGGACAAGAAATAGTCCAGCACATAACCCCAAAGTACACTTTGTTTTTGTGCAGATTGCACAAATGAGATGTTAATGAAATGCTAATTTGTGAAATTTAGAGTTGGTGGCTATTGGAATTGTGTTAATTTCAGAAAGCACAAGATCAGCTAAGCAAATAGGATGCTGGCTCTGGATTAAATTTAAATGTAAATGACACAAATAAGCTATTGAGCCTCTGATTTAACTTCCTGAAAACAAAGCAAACTCATTTTTTGGTGTAAATGTTGATACAAGTAGAGGAATTTCCATCAATGGCAGCTGAATTACTTATTGGATAAATTAGCATCTTCTTGCACGACAATGCAGTATAAAAGAAGTGATGGCTTTTATTATACCTTATATTACACCTGTAAAGATATAGTTAAGGGGGAAACCCTCTATTATAAGGTTCCTTTTACAGTGTTGCAGGTCTTTACTGGTAATGGGAAAGACTGTACTCACTGTAGAGGATCGTTCCTTGTCTGGATCTGGTTTTCACTGTCAAACAGAGAAAAACAGGGGTGTCCTTGACTCCTGCGGGTCGATTATTGCTGACACCAGAAGGCTGGAGAAGCAACGCAAGTGGCTGTAGCTCCAAGTAGGAAGTTCCATCGAATGAAGGGATATATACTGTGGCATCTGGAAACAAGCATTAGATGCAAATTGATGCTTTGAGCTTACACGGTGTAAGAGAATCAGAATTGTAATATTACTTGGACAAAAACAAAACCTCATACACACTTTACTGTCCATTAGACAATATACTTATATATAAATGAAGAATGACATATCTTGTAAAAGCAATGCCCTACAGGGCTGTTGTTTGCAAACAGAAGAGCAAAAACTGGCTGCTGTGTGCCTTTGCAGCATAGACAGCCATCTGTGTGCAGAATCAGCAGGGCCTTGTCAGGGCTATGTGCTAGAGTGTCATTTCCCATTGGATGACAAAGTGATATGACTATAAGGAGAGGTGGAGGAGGTACACACTCAGGTCATCAACTTCGCAAGCCTGTGATGATATGTTGGCCTTTACACAAAGGACTTTGTACACCTGGTGGATAGCTTACTGCTCAGGTACATGACAGCCAATTCAAAATAGGCCACCTTGGCTCCAGCTCAGGGGATTCCAACAAAACAGTCCAGCTCTCAAGTTGAGAGCTCATAATATACAATATGTGTTGGGTACAAAAAAAAAATAGAGATATATTTTTTTATTGTAAGATATATGAGAATGTTCTTTCATGACTCCAGTGTTCACTTTTTTGCGTTTTGATGTTGGATCAAATGGATTTTTAAAGTAGGATGTGAATGATTGACAATATTTAGAACAGACTACAAAGTAAAAGAAATGGAATAAGAAGAATATAAAGTTGTAGCAGAGGAAATCTCTGGGGATGCCTATAATGGAGGCGATATTATAGACTAACTTTATGCTTATACAAGGTATGGTTAAAAAGTTCTCGAACTCCATCGATAAAAAGCCAAACCCCTGCTATGTTTATGAAAGTACAGTTCTGACCACTTGCAGTGATAAGAGGGGTTAGGTCTCTGGCTGCAATGCTACAGGGAAAGCAGAGGTTGGAGACCGTGACATGAACAGAATTACTACGACTGTGTGCAACGAGCTTGCGATCTCATCTCGTTTGACATGGTTGCTTTCAAGATGGGGACCAGAAATGTTACCACTCGCAGTCAGTTGCCATCTTCAAAACGATTATGATATGTCAAGAAAGCGATAAAATGGCAATAAGGCAGAGTACGTCTGCTGTTTGTGACTGAATGGAATCATGTTGGCAATTACGTGCAATCTGTTTGTGATAATACACGATTAACTGAAGTAAATTGGCAAATGTCGTAAATCTTTTGCCATCTGTTGCAAATCTGCTGCCTTTAACATACACAAAAATTCATATTAACTACTTAAATTCAGAGTCCAGCCACATACTCACATATCTGAAACAAGAATGTAGAAATCGTTCCACAAACAGTAGTTGCTGATGAACAGTGATTTAACGGTAAAACGAGAATGTAACCAGCTGGCAACCAGAGCCAGATTCCCTATTGTAAAGAGATACATGACAGACAAGTTGAGCTGAATCTAGTTGATTGCAGCATGTTGGAATCTGTCCATGTTTATGAAATATCATTTGCAAACCTTCCCCATTCTTTCTGGAGACAGTTTGCCTCCCACCGGGCAACCACTTGGTCACAGGACGCAAAAGTTAGCAAACCTTGATTTTTAGTTGTAGCAAGGAGATTGCCATTCTTACTTTACTCTAGTGTGACAGCACCAGAGGAGGTAGAGGCCTTATGTTTTTATCTTTTATATGAAAAATGTGAGGATTTTTGACTAACCACAGATGTTATTCAAGTAATGTGCTTATAGACATGTATACCTTACCACAGCTCTGTGACACTACACGTTTATTTAAAATCAGGTTAAAGGTTAATCCGATATTTAATGTTTTCCTGCAGCAAACATTGTTTTTTATATGTGCTCAGCCTTACTCACATTATGCAGTATTGTTTCAAGGTTTTGAGAAAATGCATTCTCCTGTGGTCACATTTATGCAGCGTATTGTAGCCTGCTACTGGTTTGTGTAACTGGCTGCAGCTCTTTTTGGAAAATTACTGTTGGGCTGCTTGATTTGTGAGTCAGGAACTACTCTTGGACAGCTAATGCCTTGTTAGTGGGTTCACTCATGGCAACAGGGATAACGCAATTCCTCTGTATCAGTCATTCGTGTCAACAGGGCATTCTGAAAATGGCCTTAATGAGCCTAGGAAAAGGATTCAAGTTGTACAGTAAGTGAAAATATCACCAAGGTGAATTGCAGGGTTTGACAATAAGGACTGTCCAGTGGCCCGGGGGACCATGGGACACTGACTTGGTCCAGTTTAATGATCAGTTGCTAGACCAACACCAGAGATGAGTTTCCCGTCATATCATTTTTCACATAGTTATATTCCTTTTTTTTATTTTTTACTTTGCTTGGACTGAAGAGCCGCTCAAACACTTTCCTACCCTCACTGATTTCCTGACCAACCAGAGCACACGAATCCTCCGAGTTGCACATAGAATTATGTGGAGCAGACATGACAGCCAATGCTTCAAATTACACAGAAAGAGAAAACAAAAATTGTGTTGCTTTTGTTGTGTAAGGCGTGGTTTCCTTGGGGGTGAAAATGATAAATCAATCCTATAATATCTGTTGGCAATTTCTGAGTAAGGAAGACTGAGCTGGCTCATTTTAAAAGGCACCAGCTATTACAGCAAACACACACTAGATGCCCACATAAAGAGCTGCCAGCACCTAGCCAGTGAGTTGGCAAAGCAGGAATCTGACAACCCCTTATAAGGTCCAATTAATGTCAAACACGAAACAGAAACAAAAACAGGAAAGGTTCACCACAATAATGTCTTTTCATTTTTTTTAATGGTTTGTTATTTCTCCCAACTACATTTATAGACAAGGTTCCCACTTTCTGATAATATCATCTCCATGGTGGCACATTCGGCATTTTATAAGATGATTTTGTAACAAATATATTTGTTACTGTTATAAATAAAATCAGTATAATTAGCATGATTGTTTGGACTGGATAAGGTCAAAGGAAAAGATGTAAAAAGATGCAGATAGATACATAAAAAGGCACTTTAGGGAAAAACAAAAATGAAATGAAAAAGCTTCTTGGACTGATGTTGTGGTTAAACAAAAGTAGTTAAGGACTCAATTGAAAAAAACCCTCAACTTTCATTGTATTATTCATTTCTGGCCAACATCCAAAACCATGGCTTCTGATTCCCGAGAAACAAAGACTCAATGAGCTAAAAGCAGGAGGTCATGATCAATACACACCAAGCCTGAATAATGGTTTCACCTTTTATATCTTCTTCTTTCAACCATTTACTCCATGATGGTGTGTGTGTGTGTATAATTTTTGTAGTGTCTTTTAACTGATTTCTTGCATGCTTGATAGAAAGTCTTTGCTGAGGTCTACTACCTACTGTGCCTTCTCTGAAGAGACAATTTATCATACCTTAAAACTCTGATATGCTCAGCTGGACTGCTTTTATCTTGACAAAACCATGTGATGGGTGGCTACGTAATATCGAACACTCACTGAACCAAAAGCACTAGCCTGGATTATGGTACACCCTACCAGCGGAGCACCTCCAGGGCCAAACATAAGTGAATGCACTCAAGCTCCTTAAGTAGAAACTGCTCATATGATTCAGACTAAAGCTGACTCCGATGTTTTGGGTCATAGTCGTTATTATATAGCATTTTATCAATTTTGTGATAAAAAGAGATGTGTGCTGGCTGCAAATGTAGAGCCACATTTCTTTGTTGACTGCTAACGCGTGTAGTTGTGGTTGCAGTTCTAATGGAGCTGTGACCAAGCATACATATAGTACATACATACATACTGTAAGTAAACACATTCATTATATAAAAAAAAGGAACTTATGATCTATTAAAAGTATCATAATTATTACAGAAAAATAATAATTCGGAAAATAATTTAAGGAATGAAAAGCAAAAGGGTGGATTATGAATGATAACAATATAGATTTCGATTTCCTTCATTTCCTTCTTTTTCTTCCTGTTCCTTTTCTTTTAGCGTAAAAAAGTATATTTCTGGAACACATTTAATGAACCATCCACTTACAAAACAGATGATGATCAGCATGGGGTGCCTTAAGAAAAATAAGTGTAATTTCAAACAGTATGTTTGTTTTTTTTCCACACTGAATAAATCTATTGCCATTACAAAGAAAAGCTACTGTCTTAATTTACTGAGACAGAACACTGGGACTCTTTAATTCACTGTATTACTTCAGTCTTACATGGCTAAGTAGGCAAAAACTATGGCTCAGATGAAATTAGCCACTCTCGTGTCGTGATTCATTCTTAACTGTTGGTAACACAATACTTCCTGGTTGTTGTTATTATTATTATTTTTGGATATGTGAAGTATGACTTGTCAGCGTTTCATCTAGGACACAAACAAGTCCACATCATTAGTCACTATGCGGTATGACGTGTCTATAATTAACTGAGAGCAGGGGTGACTTGCTCCACTGTTCTCTTGTGCCCATTACTTAATTCAACAGGATGTGAAGACAAGGTTGTCACCTAGCAAAGATGCTGCAGCAATTCACATGCACAGACTTTGTCAGCATGTAAACAGCCCCGGGACTCTGTCTGCGGGCGAAGAACTAGTCTTGCAAAGCACATCATACGATGAGTGCCCACATGAGACTGCGCTCTGTTAAACCTGAGAGACTAGACTGCTTTTGAGGAGGCGCAATTTCACAAACTCAGCAGAAATGACACCAAAAGGCCACTGCTGATATTTAAAGGAAAAGTTTATGACAAGTTGAGGAATAAGCAGGAACTCACTGCTTGGAAGGGAAAGGCTGAGGGCACAACCTGTGATCGTGAGAATGTATCATCAGCTCTAACATAACAGTGGATATATTTTATCATGGTGGGAATTTACTACATATAATATGTAACAATCATGTCATGTAATAATGCAGGCTTGATTTATCAGGGTTCATTTCCAATTACGGTACTGAAGTCAGCCTTAAGCTTGCTCATGTGCAGCAGCTACAAATGATGATATTTTGTGACACTTTTTTTTCCCGGAACTTGAAATGGTTGAAAGAACAAATTAGTCAATGAATGAATCATATTCTCTGATCTCTAAAGGCTATTTAGACGCTGGCCAAAGGATCTTTAATAACCGGCTTAACAAAGAAGCATCTCTGTCATGCGAGCAAAGGGGGGGCACCGCTTTCCTCGACATAGCGCTCTCCCACGGGAAAATCGAATCAGTGTGAAGCCTTAAAAATAGCATCACTTTTGTTACAGCGCCTGGAGAGAAACATAATATTTCAGTTGATTACTTAAACACCTGTAAATTAGCATTTTGAGAACACATGGCAGATGTGTCAAATCAGGGTGCCAGGTGCATACAGGCTGCTCCTGCCACATTAATGACTGTTAATATTAGCTTTGAGCAGCGTTCTGTCAGGATTCCACATGTTTCATAAACATAAGATTATGCCATCTGATTTAGTCATTTACAAAGGTTGCAAAGGTGAACACAAACTTAACACTGTTTTTGGAACAACTTTAGCGCGAAGAAGAATGTAAATCTCTCAAAATTTTCTCTGCACATATCACATTTAGTGGCTTCTGTTATCAAAAGATCCTAATTTAGTTAAAGCCCACACAAAGAGCATTCAAACTGTCAGAGAACCGAGTTTCTCAGAACGAGTAATATCTTCTCACATGGACACAAATAAGCAAAAATTGAAAACGATTCACAATTGATGGCTTAGAAAAAAAGACCTTTTGAAATTGTTTTTATTTTCATCCAGCAGAACATTGCTTTTGGTATTACTCACAACTGAATGTTGACTGTGTCCTCTCCCTTTCCCTGTCTAGCCAACTGTTCTTGCACATGGCACCTGCAGCTCAAACGATAACAGTGGCAGGTTTAACACTCAAAATTTATCTGTTGTTATTTTTAAAACAAGAGATTAGGCAGAAATGGACAAAGAAAGGCTTCAATTTTCTTTTTGTTTATCACTGTGATTTTACAGAAGGAAATAATAGGCTTTACAGGAAGATTCTTATCGACTCTTGTTAGCTAACTAAGCTAATGTTAGCACTGTAGTTGCTAGTTCCCGTATCATGATTTGACATTTCACCCACAAATTTTAAAACAGCACATCTTCTATCATCAATAAATATAAAGAAAGTTTTCAGGTGACATATTTAACTACTACTATTTATTTTTTAATATAATTTTTATGTTTGCCTGCTTTGTTTTCTACTAATATCTTAGAGTGGATGGGACTAATTGATAAGGGGATGCAGTGATTTACGGCTTAAAATGTGCAACAGGTTCCACCTATTTCAGGCAATGATGTTGGAGCCCCACAAATTACTAGTCATATGCTCTCTTGCCTCAAAATAAACATTGTTTTTCTACTATAGGTAGAAGTCATCCAAGGAACCAGCACTTCTTATACTTATGCTCCTGTTTTCTTCGGTCTGAAAGGACAGCCACTGATAGAAAGAGGCTAAATTGATACCATTTGATTTCCAGTCCTCATTACGTTGACTTTAATTGGCCACCATATTGTAACAAGAAACAGGTCAAACACACCACAGTTAATTTAACAAATGTAATTAGCCATCAACATGTTTAATTTATATTAGAAGTACAATACCCTTTTAATCCGTGTTGAAATGTTAATCATATATTGTAGCTAGACTGCACTGCACACTGCTATCACAACACAGAATTTGAGATTTCTCTCAGCAGCTTGGCTTGCGTTATCAAGTACACAAACTATTAACTCACACATTCTAGTGTTACTTCTGTTATCCCTGACAGGAACTGACTACAATGGCAAAATACAGGAAGCATTTATTTATTTATTTTTACACTTTCAGGATATCATGCATGGCAACAGAGGGATGTCAGGAGGTACATCAAGAGAACTGTGAAGGAATCTGCAAAGGAACAGCTCCTTGGTATGTGCGTGTAGTACTACCGTCTCCCTAGTATTAGTGTCGGAGTGTTTGGTACAAAATAAATATTTTTTGGTTGGGACAGACGTGAACGCTTCAGCTGAATGTTGAACAAGTGCTGCAAGGTCACATTCTCATTCTCAGCGTGTTCTAGGGGTGAACTTAGAAGCACACCAATGGTTCGAGCTGCTTATATAGATCTTTCATTTCATTAATCATATACTGAATAATTCACATCACTCAAAATTCCTAATGCAACCAACTATTCTCCCTCATAGTGAAACCTATTAGCCAAAGAGGCTCAGCATATATTAACCAACATAATTTGTTGGCTGTCTCTTGATGATTCCACTGTAGAGGTCACAGTACAGTAGGTTTGTAAGCTTTGTACAGCCTGTGTGTGCTCTATGTATTGTGTATATGAATGTAGTGTAAACACTACCAGGTGAATGCAAAAGCCTACCTTTTTCACAAAACGTTCCAGTGAAATGAAGCGGACAGTGACAAGAAAGCTGAGCTTCACCAGGCGGCTGCAGCTGAAGGCACGTCCCTCCGTTGCGGCAAAGACTGTCGCGGCAAACTTGAGGTTCATTCATTGGATGTTCTGGTGCTTGTGTGGGAACTGCCAACGTTGTTGCAAACACTATGTCAAAGGTAGGTGATTGAGCTTCCAGACTTGAGGAACTTGTTGTGGAGGCTTGTATGGCATGCACAGTGAATCTGGAAGATTGATCAAAAGTTTGAGTGGCCAAAAGCCAATCTGACATAAATTATACAGGCTTTTAAAAATTCTGATTTGAATTAAGTGAAATTACTCAGTAAATAAGAGGCGCAGTCATTTAACAAATAGACATATTTTTGACTGCAATCCCGGAAAGAAGTAGAGAATTCAAGTGTTATTTGTCATGATTACAAGTCAGTTTCCCCCTGGCTTCGGACAAAGTGTAATGCACCTTGGAAAAGTGAGTACAGTGTTTTTAGCAATAAAAACCAAAAAAATGCAGAGACTTTACCTGCATCGAGCTATGTTGCTGCCAGCAATCGCATCCGATGTGTAGAAGCTCCTCAGTTTATTAATTTCAATGACTTCAAGACAGCCAGTGTAGTTGTGGAAAGGTTCTGCTTTCTTAAAAAAATATCACAGAATTAATTTTATTCAGAATCTTTAACAAGCAGTAAGTTAAAAAACAAACAAACAAACAAACAAAATTGATATGTGGGATCAGGCCCTGGAGCCTTGCCTCACCTCACTGAGGACTTCGGTATGGTCATGGAACAAGACTTTTGAAAAACTGTCAGACTCCCAGAAAGGAGAAGCAGAGCTCTGCCCACATAACATGCAATGAATGCTACTGACCCAGTTAGGCAGTGGAAGGAATATATTGAGGATCTCCCTAACTCCACTGACATGTCTGTGAAGGAAGCAGGGACTTAGGAACGGCTTGGCCATTACTGAGGCAGAAGTCAGAGTTGTTTTGGTTGACATGCCCCCACAGAATTGCATGGAAGTCAGGGACAGTGCATCTGGATTGGGAAACTAGAGATTTTGGTTCCCGTTTTCCAAGAATAAGAACCAGAGGGTATGCTCCAACTTCAGGGAGATCCCACACCTCAGCTTCCCTGTTAAAGTCTATGGAAGAGTAACGGAGAAGAGAGTCCACCTTTTAGTCAAGTTGTGAGCCAGTAGACCAGCTCTTGACCTTCCCAAGAACACTTAAGGGTGCACAGGAGCTTTCCTAACCAGTCTAAATGTGCTTTGCAGACTTAGAGATGGTATATGACCACATCCCTTAGCTCTGGGAGTGTAATTCATCTGACTCATTGTTGTGGGCTATTCTGTCCCAGTAAACGATAGTGAGAGCTTCCTCCTTAATATGTCTGGGCTCATCCTTAGAGACAGGGTAAGGGGCCTGGCCATTCAGAAGGGATTCAGAATATAGCAGTTACATTTCTACATTATAACAAGCTAGTTGAGGTGGTTCAGACTAGGATGTCTCCTGTGCACCTGCTAAGTGAAGTTTTTCAGGCAGGTCTCAACAGGAAGAGACCCTGGGGCAGACCCAGGACATTAGAGAGATTATATCTCTCACTGGGTCTCAGTTTCCCCCTGAAGTGCTGGAAGAAGTGGCCATGGAGAGTGGCCTGGACTTCTCTGTTTTGACTGCTGCCCTCATGACCCAGACCCATGTGTGGATAGGTGTATAGTAATTATAAGTTGTACCTGACTGGGAATAAACTGTTGTGGCAAACCCCCTGTGAAGACATTGTTCGTTCTTTGGATCATGTGTCCCAACCAGTAATTGCTTGCAGTACTTTTAATTTTCTCATGGCCAGAAAGAGTGAGCTCTGCTTCACAAGGTGCCAGGCGTTGTCTGTAGAACAGTATGAACACATCAGATCAAAATGTATAAGAAACAGAGGTACACTACGTGTTAAAAAATGTGTTTTGTATTAATGTTGTAAACAAATCAAACATTGTGCATTATCTGTATAGAAGTCTGTATAGATGTTAGATGTTATTTTCTTGTATGCTGTGGTACTATGGTAGATAATTAGCATATCTTTCAGTAATTTCAGTAAATGCCGATGGTAAAAATCTTCTCACTAATGACATTTTGAACTCCATTTTGTTTTTGTCGAGGTGTCCTATGTAAGTGCGAGTCTCCACACAACTATTTTGGATCCACCCCACAGCCATTCATAGATTTCAAAAACCAATTCTCCACTCTGCAACAACAAGGGAGAGCAGATAATTACCTAAGTGCAGATTCTGGACTAACCAACTGCAGCTTGAGGGTACTCAGGCCACAGATGCACAGTCCCCTCTACTGCGTCTCCTGATACTCCTTGTTCCCTAAGTGGAAGTTAGAAGGCCCACGAAGCAATCTAGTCTGATTTGTTAAGCCTGTACTTTGCAGGCTGTTGCATATGCCGGCTAAACACTCGGGGCACTAACTCCGAGCTGCATAAGTCCTTCCTCCAGAGCCAGCATGGAGAAGCGGTTAATTTAGAAGCAGTCTGCCAGAGCGGCCTGGCCAGCAGCCAGAGGGCACTGTGTTCACTGTCCTTGAGAAGTCAGCCCCACTGGGTTTCTATTTAACATATTGAAAAGCGTCTTTGACGGGAAGATATATTAAAAGTCTATAATGAGTTAGGCGGTGACGTTGAGGATGGCCGTGGTGGTGTAGCTGTGGGTCAAATCAGACAAAGATGGACGGACTCAGCCATCAGACAATTACAGAGAATTTGCTTTGTGACACCAGAAACTATTTTTCCACACTCCCAACCCTCTAGTTATGACAGCTCTCTTTCTTGCAGTGTCTCAAGGGGTTGGTACCGAACATTATGATTGATTTCTACTGCTGCTGTATTTTTCTTGTAGGAAAGAAAGAAGGGTGGAGCCCTGTAGCCTCTCAAACCTGACTGGTCTCTTTTATATTTAGAGCAGTGCTGCTTTCTGCCAACCCCCCGCCAAAAAAAACCACATGAGGTAACTTTCCCACTCAGCATTGTTCTAGCAGGAAATCATTTGGTAAACCATATTCAGTCACATTCAGTATTTCAACTTTTATCTGTTTGCATCTAAAAAAAAAAAAAAGTCATAATCACCAACCCAAAATTAATTTCTGTCTCTGTCTTACAATCTGAAACTTTTTTTATAAGTCAGAAATGCTCAAAAGTCATTGTAGTCTCTACTCAAATGCACAGTAAAGTGGTTTGATATGAGATGCTCTCTGCTTTGTTTCAGCTTCCAGTTCATACATAATAAACTCTGTGTCTTGAAGCTAGACCACAATCTTTCTTATGTCAGAATATAATGGAAAGGGCTGGCAGCAAGACTGCACATGGGCTTAGAAACAATATAACTAAAGGGGCCACAGCCTCACTTTAAATCATTTAAACATTGATTTTGTGCTCGGCTCTTGCTTGTTAATCTTTTCGTAATGAAAAACTGCAAATGAAGACTTTAGAACAGCCAATAAAACACGGCTAGTGATCACTAATGCATTTTAATAGGCACATTCTGATGCTTGTTTTAGTTCTTCAAAATGAAAGCCCATTTGCCCATTTGTAATAAAATCTAAATTCTTAGTCTGGTGATTCCTGCCAATTACGTATTTTCCCCCTGTTTTAGTTATAACCTTTCTCTAAAAAAAAAAAAAAAAAAAAAAAAAAA